AGACTCCGGGGAGCCACTATCCATTAGCTGGAGTTGGCACATGAGCTGAAGCCTGTGTGCCAGTTCTGAGCGGAGATCTGGAGGCGGCATGAGTCAGAGGGCGAAGCGGGAGTACAGGCAGAAAAAGGAGTGCCAGGCGCGGAGGCAACGGCCGCGGAAACTTGGGGTGAGGTGGGGAAGTGTGGAGGGATTGGGGTGGTGGGCTGGGCCGCAAGGCTGGGGACTGGGAGGAGCCTAGAGAGGCAGAGAAGGTGTGAGGTGACAGAGTGGGGACCAAGAAGGAGACTTGCTGGTATCTAGGGGAGAGTGACAAGTGGCCTCAGCCAGGGCCACTCATGGATGCAGATGGGGGGAAACGGATGGATTCAAGGAATAATCGAGAGTAAAATGGCGGGGGGGCAACTGTGGATGAGGTAAGAGAAAGAGAGGGGAGCCCTCGGAGAGAAGTCCCAGGCTTCGGCTGGGCAGCGGGAGATGGAGGCTCTGCCCTCAGGCAGCGCGTGGCTCTGTGGGCCCACCCCCCAAAAAACTATTTAGTGTCCACGACTTCTAATTGCAGCAGTGACATTCCTTTGCCTAAGTCTCGTGGCCTCTAAAGGACTCCGGTCCTAGCCCCTCTCTCTACAAGAAGAGCAAGACTCCCAACAGGAGCAGCCTCCAGTCAGTAACTGTGAAGAGCCGGAGTGTACATACTCTGCCCTCACCTCCTGGGGGTAACTGCCGGCTTCCCCAGCAGGACTCGGGTCACACTGCTGCAGTGGGGCTGGCTGGCTGCTGCCGCTGCTGCTCCCACCCCCCACATGCACTCTTTTGTGGTACTGGGAATTGAACCCAGGGATGCTCTACCATTGAGCTATATCGCAACCCTTTTTCACTTTTTATTTTGAGATAGGGCCTTGCTAAGTTGCTGAGGCTGGCCTTGAACTTGCCATCCTCCTGTCTCAGCCTCCTGAGTCACTGGGATTATAGGCATGGGAGACCCCGCTGGATGGGAGCTGGCTTCTTACAGCTGCATTTACTGCGTGCCTCTCCAGCCCTGTCTCTCTCACACGATCCTCTGCCATGATTTCCCAGAATTACCTCCTAAGTGGATTCCTTGCACCAGGTCTCAGATCTGATTCTGAGAAAACCCTTAAACTAAGGCAGTCAGTCAACAGGAGCATCTCAGGCTGGAGCAGGTGCCGTTCCCCGGGGCCTTTCTTAGGGGCTTGAACTCGACTCCTGCCCTTCATAGGAGCAAGATGGGCCTGTCTGCAGGGCGGAAGCTCAGTTGGCTGGTTGGCTGGTTGTCCCTCCATCCTTCACATACAGAACTCCAACTTTTGACAAGGCAGAAAGGGGCTCAGGAAGAAGAAGCCTTTCCCCAGCCCGGGGATAAGCCATAACTCGTCTAACACAGGAGGTCTGCAGAAGGGAAAGATGGAGGGGATTGAGGTCCTCGGTGGCATCGTCACGCCACCAAACCATCCAGGAAGCATCTACTTGAGAAATCTTGGCAGAGGGAATTGCTAAATGAAAGAGCTGAGCCTGACTGTTAAAGACAAATGCCTGGCTTTGAATCCTGGCTGGGCCACTTACTCACCATGTGACCTTGGGCCAGTCACCCTTTCCACGTCCTCATGTCTAGGACGGGGATTAGCAAACAGCCCCACCACCTCAGGTTGTCATGAGACTTAACTGTCACTCTATGTGACTGTATGGCACAGTGCCGGCACTTGCTGCTCTCTTCAAGCGTCACCTGTGGCCACTAATGCAATGAAGCCAGGGGTCACCCTGACGCTCCCACAAACCAGCGGGGAGGCTTGTTAAAGTTCAGATTATGACCCCATGGGCCCCGGCTGGAGCAGATTGTGCATTTCTAACAAGTGCCAGGAGATGAGATGCTGCGGAAGTACAGAGGTCACCTTGACCAGCAAGGTCAGGAGCCACTGTCCACTGGCATTAAGTAACGAGGAGCCCAAGGCACCCTTACTGATAGAGGGCCCCAACACAGGTGTGCCCCTTCCCTGCCCTGAGATCTGGCCAGGTCTTCCACACCTGGTCTTGGCAGCTCTCACCACTGCCCACTACTTGGTCAGCACCCTGCGAAGGAAATCCGTGGAGGGCCGGGCCTCTGCAGCGCCCACCCAGTTGCCTGGCGCATAGCAGGTGCTTAATGGAATTTGTTGCAAATCCATATGGGAGCGCCCTGTGCCCCCTTGCAGGAATACACACACCCAGTGGGCAGCAGCTCAGGCAGGCCCGGCAGCCCGGGGCTGCAGCCTGGTGGGGCTGCTCCAGGGAGGCTGCCTCCCCACCGGCCTCGGCTGGGCTGGCAGAAGCCAGGGGTGGGAAGAGGGCGGGACAGTCACAGCCCTTCTTGATTCAGAGCCTGGCATCTGGGTCCAAACAAGGCCCCTAACACCTGCAGAACAAGGAGAGGGCTGGCTATGGCTCATGTCTCCCTGTCCCTTCTATGCCTCTCCCTCATGCAGGTGTGGGTGAGGTGGCAGCCTTAAGCTGGGCCCCACTTAGACTCAGTCTCTCTCAGGAGGCAAGACTGACCCCACTTCTGGACCCAGCTTCCTCGGACCCCCGGATCCTGCTCAGTTGGAATCAAACCACGCACCCCAAACCTTTAATAATCAGCCACCACAGCCAACCTCTCCCCGTGCTTACGCTGTGCTAAGCACTATATTTGGGGTGGCTCATGGTATCTGTTAGAATGTGATTGACCCCAAGCAGCAAAATGCCCACGAGTGGCTTAATTAACAACAAAATACAAACAGTGCATGATTCCAGTGCTCGCCACGTGATGGTTGGTGTCCTAGGTGTTTCCCATGTATTAGCTCATTTAAAGCTCACTGTCCCCTTTCTGCAACTGGAGAAACTGGGTTTAGAGAGGTAAGGGACCTTTCCCAAAGCCACATGGCTACTGAGGAGCAGGAACAAGTCACAGGCCAAGGATGACTGCCAGCTGAGTCCTGGGTTTGAGCCCATGACACAGAAGGGACAGGGTGATTTTGAACCTGTCTGTGAAGAGACTTGCAGGTCCCTGCAAGCACATTTCAGCAAATGTCACCAACAGCCACCCTCCAGGGCCTTGTCACAGGCAGCCACCACCTCCTTAGGACCTGCTCCCGGTGGGTGAGTCACATGACCCCCGAGCCTTCCCTTCCTCTTCTGTAAAGTGGGAATATGCTTCTCCTCACCTGCTGCAGCCACAGGGCCGCCCTGGCCTCCCCTCCCCAGGTCTTCCTGACCCGTGTGAGGCCAACCAGGTGTCGCCCGGCCTCCCTGAAGCTTCAAGAAGCCCATGGGTGTGCCTAAGGCGGTGCCGAGGTCTGAGGCAGAGCCAGGACTGTGGCCTGAGCCTCCTGGACCCCTGAGACTCTCGACAGTCAGCGGGGACCCCGTCCCCCAGGAGCCTGGCTCCTCCCCCCAGCACGGACGCCTGCCAGGTTTCGCAGGTGAAACACACGCCAGCTGCTTCCTCCTCCTCCTCCTCCTCCTCCTTCCGCCCGTCCTCCTCCTCTTCCTGCCCACCGGAAAGCTCCGCTCGGAGGTGGGTGGACCAGCCGCATCTGCCAAGGCAGGGCCATTCACAGGACCTGAGATGCCCCTCGCAGGAAGGGCCAGGCATCAAGGTGTTGGCCCCCCGGCCCCCCGATGAGGGCTGTAGCCAGAGGTGGAGGGCAGTCACCGGGGGCGATCGGGAGCCTGCCCACCCTGCGCTGGCTGGTGTCTGCTCTCAGACAAGCCGCCGGGCCAGGGCTGTCCAGCAGGACTTTCTGTGATGATGGAACTATTCCATCTCCGCACCGCCCAGTACAGTTGTCATGAGCCACATTTCGCTACTGAGCATCAGTGTGACAGAGGAACAGAATAATACATCTTCCTTAATTTTAATTAACTTACATTTAAATAGCCATGTGTATCTGATGACATCTGTACAGGATAATACAGACCTTAACTTTTCCAAGCCTCAGTCTCCTCAAGTACATAGCAAGGGTCATGACGCCCCAGGCCCCTTCCCTGACTCAGAGGACTCTAAAGCAATATGCTGTCGTGGAATAAGCCACACTGGGAGTCAGGATCCCTGTGTTCCACACCTATGTTAGCATGCTGTGTGACCCAGGGCAAGCTCCTGAACCTGTCTGAGTGCTTTAGTCATCGACACAATATGGAAGTTGCTTTGGTCTTTGCCAGGTATCCATGGGTTGACTTTGGGGATCTGAGAGCCCTTTGCCATTAGAAGAAGAGTGTGTCTGTGTAACTGTGTGAATGTATCCATGCCTGTGTTTACTGGGGGGAAAGCAAGATGAATCAAGATGAATTCTTCAGAGAGCTTTTAAAGACAGAGCTCCCAGGAGCTCTTCACAGAGTTTCTAATTCAATGACTCAGAAGCGGGACCCTGCCATCTGCATTTGTGACGAGTTCCCCAGTGACTCCAGTGTGCAGCCCAGGAGGGGAACGCTGACCAGGTGCCAGGCAGCACCAGGTCTTGGATCTGAGATGCATGAGATGCCTTTGACACGTTTAAAATCCCACTAGGATTTAAGACCACGGAACACAAGAACGACGATGCCCTCTCTGCTCCAGCCTTCGCTCAGCGACACCCACACGGGCCGGACGCGCCAAGCTGCCCTGCGCTCTTCAGAGGTACCAACCCAGGACTCCTTGGATCGTTGAGTGTCTGACTCCTAAGATCCCCTGTGGCTGGTGCCATCACCCCACCCTACAGATGAGGCAGCTGTTGCTCAGGGATGTGACCTCCCCAAGGTCACGCCGCTGCCAGGTCGTGGAGCAGGCCACCAGGAACCAGAACCTGCACCCTGGGAGCTGCACGGCTTGCTGCCTACCTTCCCAAGATGGGTATGCCCCGGAGCCCAGAGCCCCTGCCAGCCTGAACTGACCCCGGCCTCCTGGTCAGCCCCCGGGGCACTGCTCAGCCTCTCCTTCCCCCCCCCCCCAGAAGACCAAGAGCCAGGTGGCTGCGGCAGGCGCGGCCCACACTCACTTGCCCTCCGAGCCGTAGCTGTTCATGCTGTCCTCGATGGACTCGTGGCTGGCCTGGCGCAGGGTCCGGCTGGGCATCTCCACTGCCAGGCCTGTCTCCGTGCTCCTCTGGATGGCCCCCTTCAGCCTCCGGCTGTCTCCTTCCCGCAGAGAGGCCAGGACGGGGGGGGGGGGGGGGGGGGGGGGGGGGGGGGAGAGAGAGAGAGAGAGAGAGAGAGAGAGAGAGAGAGAGAGGCAGTTAGCTGGTTAGCGTTTCAGCGGCTGGCTGCGGCCCTGCTTTTGCCCCCAGCCCAGCCCGATCTCCTGCTCACCCGGCCTCGCCTGCCCCCACCCTCCCCGGAGCGCACCCCCGGGGGGCTACCTGCACTTTGATCTGGAGAATCCTCCACCATGGACTCTCTCCCTGTGGAACCTTCTCCATCGCCGGCTCCCCCTCTTCAACTGCTAGTTTTTAAGCACTTACTATGCGTCGCACTCTGCCGGGGGCTCTGTGCGGTTCAGACCAGCATGACTGCCATTGTGGGTGGCATGCTGCTTGGCTGTGGGTGCTGTTCTGTGCACTGTGGAATTTCTAGAAGCTTTCCTGGTCTCTCCCTAGTACCTGCTAGTGGCGCCCCCAGTGCAGAAGTGTCAACCAAGAACATCTCCAGACCCTGCCAAATATCCCACATGGGGCAAAAGGCACCCCCAACCGAGGACCGATGATTGAAACCACTGGCTGAGACTAAATGGCATGGGTTCAAATCCTGAGTGTCCTTCTCACTGGCTGTTAGACTTTGGGCAAACATTCAGCCTCTCTGTGCCTCCATTTCCTCGCCTGTAAAATGGGAGAGCAACAGGGTCATCATGAGGATGAAGACTGTGTGCTTGGTCCCAACACCTCCTCCCCTGGGATCAAACTTCATCTTACCAAAGGCCCTTCGTGACCACCACTGGCCACTCGGAAACAGCAGCCCTGGTCACTGCCTGCCCCTCTCTGCCCTAACACCCTGTTTGGTTTTCACCCTAGCACTTACCACCCCGCCGGCTGTTGGCCAGTGTCCTCTGTGAAGAAGGTAAACCCCCCACACATCCCAGGACATGGCACCTGGTTCACAGTTGGAAGCCTCTGCCAACAAGAGGGCGTGGCCCGTTGTAGGTGCTCGTTCAGAAGTGCTGAATGAACCAACACCCCCGTGGGGGCAACCTTGGTCCCTCTGCGGTCCCTGAGGTGGTGGATGCTACTTTTCTTCCACTTGAGTGCCCAGGTCGAGAGTACGAGGTCAGGGACTTGTCCTCACCCCTATAGTCAGTAAGGTGGCACCATCAGAATGCACCCAAGAGTCTTCCTCCCGCTCCTGGGTCCACTTTATCGTCCTATCTGCCCAAGGGGACAGTGGCTCTACACCTCCCTGCTCCTGCCAGGACAGCACACCTCTCACGGGCCTCCTCTGGCCTCTCTCCGCTCCAGTGTTTCCCAGAGGGGCGCCCACGGGATTCTGACTCCCACACGTGGTCATGTTGTTCAGACACACACATGCCGAGTCCTCGGGAAGACACACACACACACACACACACAGGAATATACATGCAAACACAGTGTCTGTGTGTCTCCACGGGTCTGTCTGCCATTCTGTGTACATGTGTGCCTGTGTGTGCCCCCGCCACACACACACACACACACTCACACACACACACACACACACACACAGGCACTTGCATTAGACGTCTTCGCCCACCTACTGAAGAAACACACAGAGAGACTGCCACTTGGCGTCTGTGTGTCACCTGGTATCTCTGAACACGTGGGGAGGTGGGTGCTGTCTGTTCCCCTTCATCCCCATTGGTTCTCCTGAACTTGCAGCTGCATCCGCCCCCACCCACCCCCATTACCGTTTCTGTGCTCCTCTGTACAGCAGGTACACACACACACACACACACACACACACACACACACACACACACACGGAAACAGACTGGCAGGCACACGGTGCTGTCCACATGTGCTCACACACACAAGTCACGTGGGCAGGGCAAACGCCCCCCACTGGGCCTTCAGACCCGCCCTGGGTGGAGCCCCCCACCATCCCCACCCTCTAGCGCTGACAGCTCTCCTCTGGGGAAGAGGGTGGCGCCAAGCTTTATGGGCACTGAATCCCCATCCCTGCGGCCCCGCTGGAGAGCGCCTCACATCTGCGGTGTCCTGGGGCCTGGTGGCAGTTCACACGGCCCCAGGCCCCACCGCAGCCCTGGCTCAGCCCACAGGCAGCCTGGCGTGGCCGTCAGCGGCCCAGGCAGAGGCCAGCGCCACTCGTGGTGGAGGTGACAAGAGGGCGTTGCCCAGAGCCTGGCGGAGCAGGTGCCAATCGGGGGTAGCGCAGCGCTACTAAGACAGACTCACCGGCATTCCCCACATCCGCCCTGGCCAGCTGTCCTGCTGATGCCCTCCTGTGACCTTCCTACCCGGGGACCCCCAACCAATCACACCAACGGCACTCACCTAACTCAGGCAGCCTTCTGTTGGTCGAGTCTTTCAAACATTTCTCTCTTTAATGTTTTTTGTAGTTGTAGGAGGAGAGATGCCTTGATTTCATTTGTTCATTTACTTTTACGTGGTGCTGAGGATCGGACCCTGTGCCTCAGGCATGCTAGGCTAGCGTCTGCCACTGAGCCCCACCCAGCCCTGTTGGTCACCCTGTGTGACGGTCCTAATGCTTCCCCACCCCTGCCCCTAACCCACCCGCGGGGGCACAGTCCTGCTCCCTCTTGGCTGGAAGCTGTGGTCAGCTCTTCTCCCTCCCAGACTTCACCAGCCTGAGGCTTTTCCACCCCCCTGGCCCTGCCTCCCCGAGGGGCCTTCCCCTCTCCTGGTCCTCGCCCCACTCCGCCCAGGCCCAACCTGACTTCCTCCCCCTGGCTTGCTCCCCTCTGCTCCTGGCTCTCTCCTTCCTCCTCCAGCCTCTGGAGGCTCCACCTCCTGCCAGCCGGCTGCGTCAGGGACTTGGCTGCCCACCTCAGCATCCATGTGCTCTCTCTGGTCAGTCCCACACACCTCGGCCGCTGCCTTCTTTCTGTCCTGCCCTGCTGGACAGGAATCTCACCACAGGGTCTGCCCGGGGAAATGTCACCTAACACAGGATGGAACCCCCAGGAGTTGACGTTCAAAACTCTTGGCACAGGTGGGTCCCAGTGTGGCAGCAGAACCCTCCCCCTCCAAGGGCGGGCATGTTTTCCAGAGACGGCTAAGGGGTAAGCAAGAGGGGATGTCACACACCCTTATCACCACACACCGCCACCACCACCGAGGGGCTTGGGGTGTGAGTCCTGTGAACTCTGGGAGTGAGGATGCCTGATGTCGGTTGGGCTAGTAGGTGCAGCCAGGGTGACACAGCTCCTGCTCCTGAGCTCACGTTCAGAGGGGAGGCAGCGACCCGCAAGGATCATACTGAATAGTCACAGCTGTGTCAAGAGCTTGGCAGAGCTAGTGCAGAAGGTAATGACAACACGTCGGGGCAGCGGGGAGGGGGACTAACGGCCACTGATGACTTCATCCTTTGACCCAGAGTCTCTCCAGACCCCTTCGCCTTTGACATCCCTGACAGTGGGCACCTCTGTCTTCCCTGCCCGCCCCGTCCCCACATAGCAGGTGCTGGCCAGGCCGTCCCTGGGTTCCCTCTCTGGATCCCCCTGGGTGCTTTCATTCCCCTCAGCAACCTCAGGACTGCCCTATGCCCCAGGCTGTCACCTTACCCACCAGATAGCAGCCTGCACCCACCACCAGCCCACTCCCCAGTCACCAGCCCACTCCCCAGTCAGCTTCTGATTACGTTCCAATCTTCCCACCACCAGACTCCACCTTCCGGGAACACGGCGGCTCTTTCCTCTCTCATCTGGTGCCGGGCCTGACAAAGCCTGGGCCACCAATACTCCCAGACCTCACATCCTCCCCATCCATCCTCCCCGCCAAGCAGCTCCTGCCTCAGGCTTTGACTGACCATTCCCAGCAGCCTCCTCCCTGTCCTCCTGCTTCCCGCCCGCCAGCCACAGCCGATCACAGATTAGATCTCCACTCAGACCAAGGCCCGCCACTCTCACTAGTTCYTCTACACAAACAGCCACAAAAGTCCACAGCACCAGGCACCAAGGGGCTCCCCGCAGCATCCTCTACACCAGGGAAATGCTGGAATCAACCGCCGTGGACACGGGACCCGTTAACTACACAAGACATCGCCACCGTGAAACGCTCCGTCACTGCCACACGGAACGACTCCCCCAGCACCCTGGCAGTTCAAAAAAAGCAGGTTGCAGGGCAGTATGTGAAACATGGTGCCATTTCTGTAGAGCTATAGATAGCTCTGTGTGTGTGTGTGTGTGTGTGTGTGTGTGTGTGTGTGTGTGGAGAGAGAGAGAGAGAGAGCGCGTGCGAGAGAGAGCACACAAGCTTTATCTTAGGCACAGAAAAATCCAGGAGTATATGGGCAGAGCGGCTCATGGGGAGTGACTGCAGGGAGACCATTGGAGGAGGTGTGCGGAGTCATTTTGTGATTCAAGATCTAACTACACAGAAGAGTGCCCAAACCTTCAGTGTAGAGCTCCATGCATCTGCACAAACCAAACCCGCTGCACCAGCAAACCCCATGCAGAAACAGCATTCCTAGGATTCCAAGGTCCCTGGGCACCCGTCTCCCAACACCAACTGGCTCCAAGGGTCACCCTGTCTCCCATCACCAACTGGCTCCAAGGGTCACCCTGTCTCCCATCACCAACTGGCTCCAAGGGTCATCACTGCTGGTCTCTGACACCACTCTGCAATGCCTGGTTTTGAATGCTCTATAAAGAGTGTGGCCTTCTTTTTATTGGCCTGGTTTCTTCTGGTTCATGTCCCACATGAGGTGCGTTCACATGGCCTGAGTCGCCAGGTGCTCGCCATCGCTGCAGGATGGACCTGGTTTTATCCACTGTCCGGCTGATGGGTTTTTGCATTTTCCCCCTCCAGTTTAGGACAAGGAACAAGGCTGCTGCGGCTGTTTTCATGCACACCTTTTGGGGAACATCCTCACCTGAGTCTCCTGGAAAACCACCTGGGAGAGGAACTGCTGAGTCCGAGGGGGGCATGTGTTCAGCTCTAGGTGAAGCTGCCAAAGAGCTGTGCCAACTGACA